TTGTCGTCATGGTTACCCTTGACGACGGGCACGTGGTGGCGGTCCCTTGGCACTGCGCCCACGCCACTCGAAAATTCCGAGCCACCTCCCCTACTGGACGGTGGATAACACGGTTCGACCGTTTCGGCCGACCACGTACGATCCGCCGTCTAGAGAGGGGGTAGTGTAACGGCGTGGCCGTTACTAACGCCTCGCGGGCCGATCACCCGCCCGCCACTTGAGGCTATGGCGCCTAATGCGCCCCTAAAACGCAAAACACAAAGTGATACACGGGTCACCCTACCCCAGGGGCGCCCACACAACCCCCAGAGGCGCCCCACTACGATGCCGGCGCGTTACCCCCACCACAGCCTCGATGCAGAGTGGGGGAACCGCCGGCAGGGTATATAAGCCGGCTCGACGGATGAGCCGGCACCAGTCCTGTTCCGGACCTCCTAGCCAGGCAACGGGCTTCTCGTTGTTACGCCGGGTTTCTCGGTTTCTGGCCTCCTACCTTTAGTATCGGGCAACGGGTTTCTCGTTGTTACGCCGGGTTTCCCGGTTTCCGGTCTCTTCCTGCTATACACCGGGTGACGGGTTTCTCGTCATTACGCCGGGTTTCCCGGTTTCCGGTCTCTTCCTGCTACACGCCGGGCAACGGGTTTCTCGTTGTTACGCCGGGTTTCCCGGCTTCCGGTCTCTTCCTGCTATACACCGGGTGACGGGTTTCTCGTCATTACGCCGGGTTTCCCGGTTCCGGTCTTTTACTGTTACACGCCGGGCGACGGGCTTCTCGTCGTTACGCCGGACTTCCCGGTTTCCGGACACCGATATAGGCTATATGCCTCAGTACGTTCGATCTCCAGATTTCGCATACCGGGTGACCTGTAAGTCCTTTCCGGACACCGCTACAGGCTATACGCCTCCGTACACCGTATCTCTAAGTTATACCGGGTAATTTGTAAGTCTTTTCCGGACACCGCTACAGGCTATACGCCTCCGTATTTTGTTTATACCGGGTAGTCAATAAGTTTCTCTATTCAGGCTTTATGCCAACGAACATTTTGTTTACTTGTTTCTTTTTGAATAAACCAAAGCATTGTTAATAAGGAATAAGCGAGTCTGAATCTCCCCCTTCCTCCCGAATCCTGGAATCGGCGAGCCGATCCGCGGCGTCGGGAAAGGTGAACCGTTACAAAATACAATGTTAAACGATTCTTCGCTGATGACCAATGGATGAGTAAAACGATTGGTCTGAGATTTCAAGTTTTGCGACATTTAATCATGCTGTGGATATTTTACGCGAATTAAATTAATATCAGAGAAAATGAAAAAATCTTTCAACTTACATTATCGTTTTAACAAGTTCTTCTTCTCGACATTTTAAGTGTGTGTTGCGAAGTCTAAATTGGTCATCAGCGAAGAATCGTTTAACTTTGTATTTTAATATTAACTAACTTTGTATTTTAATATTTAACTAACTTTTTATTTTAATATTTATAACTTTGTATTATAATATTTGTTTAAAATTGTCACGTATTTTCGAAACGACGAAGCAAGGTCAATCGTAGAAATTGAAAATATTCGACGCCGAGATGTTATTCCGGTTGTTTTCGATTCCGCGAGCGAGGAATCTACAAAAACTCGCCTTTGTCTCGCGTTTCGGAGCATGATGGGGCAATCGTCCGCGAATAGGATTTCAGCACGTGTGCCACGCGTCGATCGGATGATCGATCGCCCCCTTAGCTGCCGAATTCCGCGAGGATCAAAAATGAGTCTACTCGAGGAGTCTGAACTGAAGAGACGTCTCCGTGTATATCAGCGAAAAGAGCATCGCGCGAATTTATCTCGCTCTAGAGCGAACTTCCGCGTTTTAATTTTGTCTGCGAGAATTTTGAATAAAACTGCTTTGCCTCAAAAGTGAATTTCTCCACCTTACAATTTTCTCCGCATCCAGTCTCCTTCGTATCTGCGAGCCGACTTATAAATAAATAAATTTGCCTCTGCGCGGAAAATTAAAATAAATCGAAGGTTCTCGCACAGAAGTAAAATGGTCCTTCGAGCCGGATAGTGGAGATAACGAGGACGATAAGGTAAAACGGAGAAAGTGATTCTCGTGTGACTCTCGCGGACAGTGAAAAAGCGCGGGTGGACAATAGAAGCACATCGTCTTACAAACGAGTGTGCAAAAGAAGAGACAGGAACCAAGTGTCGAGTTCGCTCTCGAGAAACAAGTGTACGGGTAGACTCCGATTCACGTCGTCAAAACCCAATTCGACTCGTGAGACGAAACTTAGTGGTCTCTTTCGAGACAAATTCGTCGCGTTCGACAGTCAGGTCGTTCGCGAACTCGTGCCGTCGGCGCCGTTTACGCGCCCGACATACTTAGTGGTCTCTTTCGAGACAAATTCGTCGCGTTCGACAGTCAGGTCGTTCGCGAACTCGTGCCGTCGGCGCCGTTTACGCGCCCGACATACTTAGTGGTCTCTTTCGAGACAAATTCGTCGCGTTCGACAGTCAGGTCGTTCGCGAACTCGTGCCGTCGGCGCCGTTCACGCGCCCGACATACTCAGTGGTCTCTTTTGAGACAAATTCGTCGCGTTTCGACAACAAGGTCGTCCGCGAACTCTTGCCGTCCGCGCCGTTCACGCGCCTGACATAATCAATGGTCTCAAGTCAAACTTGAGACATACGCGTCGCGTTCGATAAAGGAAGCGTCCGCGAATCTTTCCGTCTGTACGACTGACGTTCCTCGGAAAAAAAAAAAATGTCGACAGCAAAAGATCTGTTGATCGCGCAATTAGACACGATCTCTCAAGTGAAACGCGTGCTAGTGAATTACAAGAAGTTGGCTAAGGTCAATATTACCCTGCCAAAAATTCAAGGACGATTGGACGAGCTTACGTCGCTCTGGGCATCCTGCAGGGAGCTCCACGTCAAGCTCTTACAATCTACGTCTTCAGATGAACGGGCGAAGGCTGCCTACTTCGTCGATGAAGATTTTCTAATCGCTGAGGATGTCTACCTCGAGACGGCCGATACGCTCCGTGATATAATAAGTAAATTAAGCATCTCTTCACCGCCTTCTCTCGATCGTAGCACTGACTCCTCGTTTCGCGACAGTAATAATAATAATTTTCAGTTGCCTCGTATTACGCTTCCGAAATTTTCGGGGAAGTTTTCCGAATGGGAAAGCTTCAAGAACACTTTCGAGTCTCTCGTTGCTAGTAACGGTACGCTCACTAACACTCAAAAGTTTCATTACCTGAAAACAAGTGTCATCGGTGACGCTGCCTTAATAATAAATAATTTAAAGATTTCGGATCCGAATTACGAATCGGCGTGGCAACTCTTAATTGCCGAATATGATGATGAGGCGACCTTGATTAATACTCACTTGCATGCTTTCATGAGCATGCCCGTTATGAAACATGAAAGCGTAGGCGAGTTAAAGAGATTGCGAGACACGGTGGCTGCATCGCTGGCCGCGCTGACGAATTTGAGTCGACCGGTTGCTCAGTGGGACGATATGCTTGTTTATTGCATCTCGCAAAAATTCTGTCAAAAAACGCGAAGCGAGTGGAACTTGAAGTGTTCCTCTATAACTTCAATTCCGGCGTACCAAGATATTCATGAATTTCTTACGACTAGAATCCGCGGATTGTCAGACTTCGCGGAAGTTTCAAGAGAAAGTGTTAATCAAAAGCTAGACAAGCCGCGTTCGTCAATGCATAACGTCTCCGCTGTCAAGTGCATATGCTGCTCAGGCAATCATTTCGTGATAAAGTGCGAGCCGTTTCGTCAAAAATCAGTTGAACAACGAAATGAGCTCGCTCGCAAAAATCGTGTATGCTTTAATTGTTTGCGCTCGGGGCATATTTCGCCGAATTGCCCGAGCCAACAGCGATGCAACCACTGTAGTCGGTCTCATCATTCTTTATTGCATTCCGAAAATTATCAATCGTCAGCTGTCAGAAAAGGTTCGGAAGCTGCGAAACCGAGCGTGAAAACGAATGCGAAGTCCGAAGCCTTGGACGGTTCCAATAACGCTGCCGTGGCCAGCGTCCAGACAATCGAACCGCCGGACTTTACGACTCCGGCGGTTCTCCTCGCAACCGCGTGGGTGAACATCCACACCGCTGAGGGCCGACGCTTTAAGGTTCGCGCGCTATTGGATCAGGGATCCAATTTTAGTTTTATATCGGAATCTTTCTGACAAACCATACGGACCAGGCGACAAAGAACCGATTTACAAATCAAAGGATTCGGGGAAAAATACACGGGTGCCGCAAAGTCGCGCGTGTCCTTGCGAATGACTCCGTGCGCGAAATCCGACCCGGTATTTCCAATCACAGTGTACGTGTTTCCGAAGATCACGTCGTACGCGGCTTCGCGAGTTCGACCTGTCGAATCGTGGCCTCACTTGAAGGGCCTTTCCTTCGCGGATCCGGATCCGTCGAGCAAACATCAAATTCACTTGCTTCTTGGAGCCGACGTTTATGGCTCACTTTTGATGCGCGACTTGAGGCAAGGTCCGCTCGGTACCCCCACAGCTCAACTAACCGCGCTCGGTTGGATTATTTCCGGTCCGACCGAAAATAAACGGAAGGCTTCAAAAGAAGCCGTTTTAAATTGCGTTCTCGGTCAAGAGATAGACACTCTTCTCCAGCGGTTCTGGGAAGATGAGGAGATCGCGCCTCAAATTCCCCTCACGGAGGAGGAAGAGATTTGTGAGCGACACTTCGTGCAGACGCATAGTCGGTTGTCCGACGGACGATACGTCGTTCGACTACCCTTTAAATGTGATCCTCCGATCGAAATCGGAGAGTCTCTTTCCATTGCGCGGTCGCTGTACAACCGTATGGAAAACAGATTGAGAAATCGATCGGAACTGTATTCGCAGTATAACGAATTTCTAGCGGAATACGAGTCCCTCGGACATATGACTAGCGTCGACGAGTCGGAAAAAACCGAGTATTTGCCCGTTTACATTCCGCACCACCCCGTGATTCGGGAAGATAGTTGCACGACTAAATTACGGGTCGTTTTCAACGCGTCGTGCCGAACTAGGAATGGCACGTCGTTGAATGACTTTTTATTAATAGGGCCCAAATTACAGCAAAATCTACCTGCCGTGTTATCGCGATGGCGACGGTGGAGCTTCGTCTGTACGGCCGACATCGCCAAGATGTTTCGGCAAATTCAAATTCATGAGCAAGATTCAGACTACCAAAGAATTCTTTGGCGTCTTCAAGCGGAAGCGCCCGTTCGACATTTTCGCTTGTTAACGGTCACTTACGGTCTCGCTCCCGCTTCGTATCTCGCGATGCGCGTATTGAAACAGCTCGCCCTTGACGAGGGAGAAAAGTTCAAGGCCGCGGTTCCTATCCTAGGAGAGTCTATTTATGTAGACGACGCCCTGTTTGGCGCGGATGATATAAAATCTTTAAAAAATACTCGCGTTCAATTGATGCAGTTAATGGAAAAGGGGGGATTTCAATTAAGGAAATGGGCATCAAATTTGATCGAACTTCTCAAGGATTTCTCTGTTGACCAATCGGAAGTAACCGATCATCTAATCCTGACGGAAGATTCACTTAAAGTTCTCGGCCTGTCATGGATGCCTAACGAAGACTTGTTTCGCTTGGTCGTGAACTCGACCACCCCCAGCGTTCCTACCAAACGCTCAATTCTTTTATTTATCGCGAGGCTTTACGACCCTCTCGGATGGGCCGCTCCCGTCGTGATCGTGGCAAAAATAATACTTCAAGAGCTGTGGTTGTTACATTGCGAATGGGACTCTCTCATCTCCGATGAGTTAAAGTCCCGTTGGAATTATTTTGTATCAGAATTTCACAAATTAGAAATGATCAAAATTCCACGGTGGACTGGTCAAGGTCCACAAACTCTCGCGCTAGAGATACACGGTTTCGCTGACGCGTCAAATCGAGCTTATGCCGCCGTCGTATATCTTCGCGTCTATCATTCGCTTTCAGACTTCGCAATAAATTTAATCGCAGCAAAAACAAAGGTCGCGCCCGTGAAAACCGTGAGCATCCCGCGTCTAGAGTTAAACGCGGTAGTGTTATTGAGTCGCCTCGTAAAGTGGACTGTTAATTCGTTGCAGTTAGTTGGAACTCCGATCCATTGTTGGACGGATTCCACGATAGCTCTGGCGTGGTTGCGCCAGCACCCATCAAAGTGGAACACATACGTGGCCAACCGCGTGGCTGAAATACAGAACAATTTGCCATCTACTCGGTGGAGTCACGTACCATCGGCAGAGAACCCGGCGGATTGTGCGTCGCGCGGGCTATCCGCGTCTGAGTTAGTGTCACATTCGCTATGGTGGACGGGACCACCATGGCTTCGGCAACCTTCAACGGCTTGGCCGATTCAGGATATGACGAATACTAGACTCACTAATGAACTACAGCAAGTTTCAGCTGAACTGCGAAAAACCAAAGTTCTTCACATTGAAGGTGAAGAAGAGTGGGATCTACTTTACAAATTTTCAAGTTGGACGAAGCTCGTCCGAGTGACGGCTTACGTCCACAGGTTTCTCGCCTTACTGCGGAAGGAAAAGGTTCGTAAATTTAACAAAAATTCGACACTGAGCGTCGACGAGCTTAAACGGGCCGAGCAATTCTGGCTGTCTTATGTCCAGCGGAGAGCTTTCAAGGTCGAATTCAAAACTTTGCAAAAGACTGCCACGATTTCAAAAAGGAGTTCCTTCCGAACTTTTGCTCCATTCTTAGGAGAAGATTCGGTACTCCGGCTTGGCGGGCGGTTGCGACACTCCGCTCTTAGCTACGATGAGCAACATCCCGTAATCGTGCCGCGCGGACAACTCGCTTACCTTCTAATCGCTCAAGCTCATAAGAGTACACTCCACGGTGGAGTTCAAATCGTGCTGCGCACCCTTCGTCAGAATTATTGGTTAATGGGAGGGCGAAACTCCGTCAAGGGATATATAAGACAATGCATCCCGTGCGTACGACACTCGGCTAAACTTTCGAGCCAATTCAGGGAGACCTCCCGTCTCCACGCGTCAATCCGTCTTCTCCATTTGCTCATACGGGGGTGGATTATACTGGTCCTTTCTTAGTCACGCCGTTCGTTGGCAGAGGCCAAAAAACCAGAAAAAATTATATAGCTTTGTTCATCTGCCTCGTCACGAAAGCAATCCACGTAGAGCTAGTCGAAGACTACTCTAGCGCTGGGTTCCTCGCCTCCTTTCGGCGATTTGTGAGCCGAAGGGGCTTGCCGTCCAAGCTATATAGCGATAATGGAACGAACTTCCACGGGGCTGACAAGGAATTGAACGACGCGTTCAGCGCCTTGATGAAGGATTCGTCACTGCACGACATCCTTGCAAATGACAAAATTGAATGGAACTTCATTCCGTCTGCGGCTCCTCACTTCGGTGGGCTATGGGAGGCGGGAATCAAAAGTCTCAAGTCGCACTTAAAACGAGTCGCCGGTTCACGAACTCTGTCACAGGCCGAATTCGCGACGTTATTATGCCAAATCGAGGCGTGCTTAAATTCTCGTCCGATCGCGGCATTAAGCGACGATCCGAGTGACCTATCGGCACTCACTCCGGGTCATTTCCTGATCGGGCGCCCCATAATTGCGATACCGGAGGAGTCAGTGCTCGAAAGTAATGCGAATCGACTCTCGCGATGGCAGATGGTCCATTCTTTAGTCGAACAGATTTGGCGCTCGTGGTCGCAAGACTACTTGCACTCTCTGCAGCAGCGGCGTAAGTGGTCGGAAAAAACGTCTTGTTTTCGCATAGGAGAACTCGCCTTGTTGAAGAATCCCTTGCTCCCTCCGAGCAAGTGGAACCTAGCGCGAGTCACGCAGATTCATCCCGGCTCAGATGGACTCGTGCGAGTAGTTACGGTGAGAACTGCGAGCTCGATCCTGAAACGACCAATTACGCTACTGTGCCGGCTGCCAATCAATAGCAATATTTGAAAATTGTACTTGCGTTAAAATTAGATTGTAATTATTTGATAAATTTCGGGTGTGATTTATGTATTTAGCGTCAAAATCTAATATGTTAGGCAATATTCTCCTCTTCGGCGTGGTTTTCGAGCCAGGTATCGCATTTATGACTTTGTTATTCGACCCATCGCATTGTCGGTAAAATTTCGAAACATGTATAATTGTATTTGCGTGCTCGAACAGCCGAAAGAAACAAATATTTGCTAAGGCTCAGTGCCTATTGAAAATTGAGAGCGTCTTTATAATTTAGAAATATTTACTCAAAAATCGTAAAAGGTGTTTTCACCTTCTGATTACTTGCCCTCGTTATTCGATCGCAAGGAATTATTGCATTGATCTCTTGTTTGATTTCTTGGTTGATTGAAAATTGAACGTTCGGCACTGTCTAGCGAGCGCCCGAAGAGAGCGGAGGTCCCGAGACGGAAGCGCGACGTATAGAGAGCGAGAGAGGAGAGGACGTTAAGGATCGTACAGGACTGGTGAGACGACGTGGTCATCCTGCTGTCGCCGAATTAAGGTAGCAGGGTGGATGGGTCCCGAATTACTTATCGTTAAGAGATTATGCTGGACTTAGTTGCCGGCCCGTTATAAAATTGCGAGAGATTAGTTTTATTGTCGAGTCGCGGTATTAACGTAACGAAACTCTATTGGGAGAAACTACGACCCATCCACTCTCTTGCGTTTCCGCATATTCTCTCTCCCGCGTGGACAGTCTTCGCGCGTAACATTGTCGCGCGAAAATTACCGCGATTTACGCGTTGCCGAATATTGTTCGAGGCGAAAAATCGGGGAGCTCATAAACGCTTTCGGGCTCATTAAAGTATTAATGTTGTCTTAAAAGAAAAGGCGTGATTACGTTTAATGTTGTGTATGGAATTTATGTACGGCGCCCGCGGTGCGCCCTTACGCCGGCCCCTTTGTTGTCGCGCATACCGCGCGGATCACGCGCCCGCGGCGTGGAGTAATATACCCAGTGGCGCATCGCCGATTTAATTCATCAATTTTTTGTTGTTATTGGAGACACTACCTCGTTGCCGCGAATTAGTTAAATATTATTCATAACTCGGCACAGCGAACCACCGGTCGTATTGCCTCACCAAACTCTCAATCGTGCGTCTGTGCACGCCGCTTATTTCTGTATATTATATACTCCTGTGTCTTATGAACAAAATTTAAATATATGTTTTATTAACTTTAATTCCTCGGGTTATTTCTTGCCGCCACGCACCCGAACCCTTACCCGTACAGAGGCTAGCCGAGCGGGAAAGTTGCCGTCGCGATCTCTCTCTCTCCCGTGATTGACGCCCGCGAGAGGGCTGGGACAATAAATCCGAGTAAATCAAGACTTAGCTTCCCGCGAATTTATTAATTGAGAGACGGTGCGGCTGCCGCACCTGGCGCCCAACTAAATCGAGATTTTAGTTTTTTTTTTATTTTTTTTTTGTTGTTATAATTTTTTTTGTGATCGGACGGAGAGATCGCGCCGAACGGAACCGATATTCCGCAGGAGACTTTTCTCCTTACGCGACGAATTGATATTCGCTGCGCAGTCCGCGCGATACGGTTATAATATTGTGACGACCCGATTAGCCGTCACTAGTCGCCCGCGCTCATGTAAACGGCCCCTTTCGGGGCTACCACACAAACACGTTGGGAATCCGCCTTTTCGCCCCCACCCGTCACTCGGCCCCCTCCAAGCTAGTCTTAGAGTGGGGTGGCCGACGGGTATAAAGAGCGGCGCAGCCGAGACTTCGGCACCAGTCCCGTCCTGGTCCCTCGAGCGTACTCAGGGATCACTCCTCAACTCCCACACTCCAAATCACCCCGGCCGACGAGCGTTCTCGTCGTGCAGGCCGAGCGTCCTCGGTCACCGGGTCCTGTCCGTAAATCACCCCGGCCGACGAGCGTTCTTGTCGTGCAGGCCGAGCGTTCTCGGTCACCGGGTCCTGTCCGTAAATCACCCCGGCCGACGAGCGTTCTCGTCGTGCAGGCCGAGCGTTCTCGGTCACCGGGTCCTGTCCATAAATCACCCCGGCCGACGAGCGTTCTCGTCGTGCAGGCCGAGCGTCCTTGGTCACCGGGTCCTGTCCGTAAAACACCCCGGCCGACGAGCGTTCTCGTCGTGCAGGCCGAGCGTTCTCGGTCACCGGGTCCTGTCCGTAAATCACCCCGGCCGACGAGCGTTCTCGTCGTGCAGGCCGAGCGTTCTCGGTCACCGGGTCCTGTCCATAAATCACCCCGGCCGACGAGCGTTCTCGTCGTGCAGGCCGAGCGTCCTTGGTCACCGGGTCCTGTCCGTAAACACCCCGGCCGACGAGCGTTCTCGTCGTGCAGGCCGAGCGTCCTCGGTCACCGGGTCCTGTCCGTAAATCACCCCGGCCGACGAGCGTTCTCGTCGTGCAGGCCGAGCGTTCTCGGTCACCGGGTCCTGTCCATAAATCACCCCGGCCGACGAGCGTTCTCGTCGTGCAGGCCGAGCGTCCTCGGTCACCGGGTCCTGTCCGTAAATCACCCCGGCCGACGAGCGTTCTCGTCGTGCAGGCCGAGCGTTCTCGGTCACCGGGTCCTGTCCGTAAATCACCCCGGCCGACGAGCGTTCTCGTCGTGCAGGCCGAGCGTTCTCGGTCACCGGGTCCTGTCCGTAAATCACCCCGGCCGACGAGCGTTCTCGTCGTGCAGGCCGAGCGTCCTCGGTCACCGGGTCCTGTCCGTAAAACACCCCGGCCGACGAGCGTTCTCGTCGTGCAGGCCGAGCGTCCTCGGTCACCGGGTCCTACCTGAAAGTCACCGGCGCCCGACGGAGCTCGCCCTTCTCAGGGCGCCCGTACGCGTGTCCGCGTTGGAAACTCTAGCAATAAGTCGTGTCCGCGTCCGTATAATCTGGTCGCGTCTCGTCCGTAATATTTCTATCCGTCAATCCTAGCAATAAGTCGTGTCCGCGTCCGTATAATCTGGTCGCGTCTCGTCCGTAATATTTCTATCCGTCAATCCTAGCAATAAGTCGTGTCCGCGTCCGTATAATCTGGTCGCGTCTCGTCCGTAATATTTCTATCTGTCAATCCTAGCAATAAGTCGTGTACGCGTCCGTATCATTGGTCGCGTTTCGTCCGATTATACTGTGCTGTGTATAATGGTTTGAATCACGGAAGAACCACAGGAAGGTGGCCCCGAATAAACTCTACTTTTACCAGAGCAACCGTGTGTTATTGTAAATCTGAGTCTCCCCTCTTCCCGAATCCTGGCACCGACGAGCCGATCCGTGGCGTCGGGAAAGGTGCTTCGTTACATGGCGCCCGAACAGGGACCTGACTCGACCGTCTGAGACTCCGGTTTGCAATCCACATGCTTGGGTGGATTACCGCCTAGATAAAGAGGAAGCCGTCCGATACTTCGCCAACCGCGATCTAGACCCAGAAGGGAGATTAATCGACCTCCGCCGCCGCATAAGAGACCACGTAATGGCCAATCAGCCAAATACCGGAGCGGCCGAAACGCTCCACGCGCCGATTAGCCGCGAAGAACGTTACCGGAGTGCACGCGGAACCCCCGAACCACCCGAAGCCGACCCGGCTAAGGCCCTTAATCAGATACGCAAATGGGGCTGCCATTTTGATGGTAAGGACCCCCTCGCTTTCCTCGAGCATCTGGAGGAACTCAGTGTGCCTATGGTCTGGAAGACCACAATCTTCTCACCGGCCTGCCCGAGCTGTTAAAGGGCGACGCCCTTCTGTGGTGGAGAACACCAGAGAACAGTGGTCTACATGAGCCGGGTTCCGAAAGGATTTCTTGGACCAGTATCTATCGCCCGGGTACAAACGACAATTACGACGGGAAATACAAGGCCGGCGACAGAAACCAGGAGAGGCGTTTACGCGATACGCTACCGCCGTACAGACAATGATGCGTCGGGCTGGCGGCTACACTAGCCAGGAACGGCTCGAGCAATTGTATGAAAACGCCGACCCGGAACTCCAGCTATACGTTCGATTGGACGAACTGCACTCCGTTTCCGAGCTGTGCAGTCGGGCCGAGTGGGAGAAAATCCACCGGCGTCGCCAAGAACAACGCCGCGAAACATCACGGTCCACCGAGGCGAATCTTGCCGCCACTACATATGACCGTGCGAGTTGCTGTTGGCGATGCAAACAGCGAGGGCACACACGACTCGACTGTCGCCGCCCAGCACGGAAATTCTGCTCGCAGTGCGGGAAGGATGGCGTCCTAACGCGAGACTGCCACCCTCCGACGGAAAACGACCGGCGGGTCGGAAACGAGGCGGCCATCGTCCGACCCGCGTCCAGATAGAGTACACACCGCGGCCGCATTTACCAGTCCAGATTCACCGATTCAACACCTGGGCACTTCTCGATTCCGGATCCGAAGTGTCGTTTGTGAACGCCACCATGGCCAAACGCTTGTCTGATCGCGGCCTCCAGATCCAGCCGTCCGAAGAACCGGTCAACTTAGCCGACGGCTCCAAGGCACCCACCTCCGGTTCGATCCGCTTCGCCATCCGAGTCGGCCCTCGCTCTGTCCGCCACCGCTTCCAGGTCCTGGATAACCTCAGCAGCGAGGTACTAATCGGAGTCGACCTATGGGCTCGGTTACGCATTACGCTGCCGCCTCCCCCATCCAACCGACCAGGGAGGACGGCTCCGGCCCAGGTGGCGTCTGTCTACGGCAAACTGTCCGCCGGAATCTCCCCACGCTCACCAGAGGAAGACCAGCGTTTCCGGCAGTTTTGGATACCGAACTCCGGTTATTTGAGTCCGTGCAGGGGCCCACCGATCGCACCAAACACCAGATCAGATTGCGGCCTGGAGCCCCAATAAAGCAGAGATACCGACCCCGTAATCCGGCCATGCAGGCCGTCATTGATAGCGAGGTGAATAAAATGTTGGAAGCCGGAGTGATCGAACCGTCCAACAGCGCATGGAGTTCCCCCGTAGTCCTCGTCAAGAAGAAGGATG